CCAACCCCCCTGCCCAGGCAGGGTCACCTGGAGCAGGTGACACAGGGACGTGTCCAGGTGGGTCTGGGATGTCTCCAGACACTCCAAGCCCTCCCTGGGCAGCTGTTCCAGGCTCTGCCACCTCCACGGAAAGAAGTTCTGCCTCATGTTGAGGTGGAACTTGTGGTTTAGTTTATGGCCATTGCTCCTTGTCCTGTCACTGGGCACCACTGAACAGAGCCTGGGACCATCCTCTGACACCCCCTGGAGTTACTGTATGGATTGGTGAGACATTTATATGGATTGCTGAGATATTTGTAGGGATTGATGGATCCCCTCTCAGCCTTCTCAGCCTTCCCCTCTCCAGACTGACCAGGCCCAGCTCCCCCAGTCTCTGCTCATCCCAGAGATGCTCCAGACCCCAAATCACCTCTGTGGCCTCTGCTGGACCCTCCCCAGCAGCTCCTGGTCTTTCTCATCCTGAGGAGCCCAGACCTGGACACAGCTCTGGATGTGCCTCCCCAGGGCGGAGCAGAGGGGCAGGATCCTTCCCCGACCCGCTGAGACCTCCCGGTGCTCCCAGTGGGAACAAGCACATATTCCCTGGCCGTTATCCCCACGGGAAGGACTCCCCCATGGAAACCACCCCAGATCACACACTGACACTCCCACGTGTCTCCAGAGACCAACAAACAACCCACAGGATGAGAAAAAACCCCACAGGTTTCTTTCCCAACTCCCTGGTTCGGCAGGTGCTGCCCCGGCACAGCCCCGGATCCCTCCGACATTCCCGGCATTCCCACCCCCAAACACCGACAATTCCCCTGCACAGCCTTAACCACACTCCAGCCTCACCCTCCCCGAGCCTCCAACACCCCTCTGGATCGGACGGAAAGCTGGGAATGTCGTGCTCTCAAAGGACAGGGTGGCGTTTTATCCCACGGACACGTAATTCCCAGCAACACCCCAAGGGATTTCCAGCATTCCAATCCGTAATTTACTGCTTGGAAATAACGTGCTGACGGGATTATCCAGAGGAAAAAATATTGGGAAGCACAGCCAAGGCTCGACTAGTCCTGCAGATTAAATCAGTTTGAATCTGATAGCAAGGGGAGATTAATTTAAAAATAGACCTTCCCGGTGGTTTGGTCAATACAAGTGGTTAAAACATGACTTTAAAATAAATAAATACACTCCGTTCTCTTCCTGTGTCATTCCTCAGATAAAAGCCTGGGCCTGGAAGCTGCGGAATTCTGACTATTGGAGGTATGTGAGGTACTTTTGGTGGTATGAAAAACAAACCGGAGCAGCCCCAGCACCCTTCCTGCGGAGCACGGGAATGCCTGGTTGGAATTCCGACTGCCCAAACACATTCCCGTGTGCTCTGTCACATCCCAAGGGACCCCCTGTCACTCTTCTGCTCACAGGAATTTCGGGAACAGCCCCGGGAACAACCCAGCACAGCCACTGAGCTGCTGCTCACAGAGTATTTCATAATTCTACATGACAGTGAAAACTCATCAATTTTGGGATTAGTAAAGG